GATTATGGCATGTCTGCTACGAAACGCAAGATAAAAGAGCCTATGGAAATGAATAGATTAGAGAATACATGGAATGTAAGGAATGGCGGTAAAAGTTGAGTTGAAAGAGTGAGAAGATGATGAGATGCCGTCCAAAAGAAGATGATTCAATTTGTCAGCTGAATGATAATTCTAATTGAGTTAATACTCATTCAACAGACATGTCAAGCTCATCAGCCAAAACAGACGCGCGAGGCTACGCAAACACAACCAGGCTTCTCTTTGGCTCATTAGACCTTAATAGCCCAGACAAACGGGTTCGAACTGGTGGTTTAGCAACGTAAATTTCACTTGTTCTTACATACATCTCATCAATTTAACAAGGGTTTCTTACGGACTAACGCAATCTCGTTTATCCATTTTCCTGAAGATATGAAGACCAAAATTTTGTGGCCTCTGGTATGGTCGCAGTCTCCTCGTGGGTTGACCTCGTTGTTGCAAATTGGTCTTGTTGTCATGGCGACTATGTAGAACGCACCTAGTCCGAAATCGTCTGCCATAGTAGTTGTCATGATAACCAGCATCAGACAGTGGAGTTGGTACAGTCTCAGAACGTTTCGCCGGCATCATCAGTGAGTTTTGCCATTCTCGAACTCGTCAAAAGAGACAAGTGAAGTCAATCTCTCGACCAACGTTCTGCCGAAATCGGTTACACTATCACTCCTCTTCCTGTCCTGCCCATCTATCCACTCTTTACTCTCTTATCCCACTCTCGCCATATCACAACTTCTCACTTCTTTTCCTACTTGTTGGTGGGAGGATTGACTTCACTTGTCTCTTTGACGAGTTCGTAGCTTGGTGCGGAGAATGGCAGCACTCACGGATGATACCGGCGAAACGTTTGAGAATGTACCAAGTCCACTGTCTGATGTTGGAAATCATGACAACTACTATGCCAGACGACTTCGGATTAGGTGCGTTCTACTAAGTTGCCCTGACAACAAGACCAAGTTGGGGCAACAAGGTCAAACTACTTCTATCCATTTTCTTTTTTTCTGTGGGTCATTAAGACTTGATGGCCCAGGTTTGATGTTAACCTTTTTTCTAATTACTCTTGCGTACAGGCGTTAATATACCTACACACACAGACACAATCGAGTATACGTAAATTAACACAGTCTTTCTACATCCATCTATATCTTAAATTTTGCTCATAATGAGTGTGTATATCATATGGATAAAGGTTGGTTGATCTTCTTGACTTTGTGTTAACTTGAGGCTCTTGCAAGAATGAGTCCGTGCTCTGATGATGCTCGTCACATGACGAATGGACTCTCGACCCAACTTCACCCGAGACGTTGGAAGATGTCTCGTGGACTGCATCTACCAAAACGTTTATTAACTCCAAACGAATCGTTCTAATTCTTCTGGCGAGAGTGACCTACGAATCTCTACATCATACACTTCCATACTAAATGAAAATCTTTACAGCACTACTCATTCGGTTTCCTGGAAGACCAATTAACGAATTCCTTCCAACCAACTTTTTTAGTCAAGTTGAAAAGTTGAATCACATTTTAGAGGATCTGCTTACATGATTGGCCCAGAAAGAATGATAGAACATGTGCAATGGTCTTATGAGGATCCGAGGCAAAACTGGGTTTTGAAGAAATCTTTACTGATTTATAGTGACATGACTTTCTATTTCGAAGGAAAGGTTTGTTGGAAGGAATTTTTAAAAGGATCTCGTCGAATATCGAATGAGGATTGCCACGCAATGATGATTGTATTTTCATGCGACCCCAATCAATCTGTGCTGTGTGGGGTGTACCACCGGGGCGGACGTCATCAGTACAATATTCCATACTTTATGGAATAGGATAAACAATATATTAAATTTTTTCTCTTGAATTATGATATTTTTACTCCATTTTCTTAAAGTTTATATTATCGCTTTGACGATGTCTGTCAGGAAAGTACAGACTAATGTCATACACGAGTTCCTCGATGTCACATCACGGTGAAGCAAGGACTTCTTCGCTTCGCAGACATTCTCCTTCGGTTTCGGGTGAGACCATTCCAAGAATTTCATTCAACCAACTTTTCTTTCGAACTGAAAAGTCATAATACTTTAGCGGATCATCTTCAGGCTGTGTTTTTCATGCCCAAGGCTCTTTTGGCTTCCTTAGGCTTCAAATTCCCCATGTCCCGAATACACTTCCCCGTCCTGTATGCCATTAACTTACATTCTTTAGGGCTCTGTGCATGGCTTTATTTGGAACTGAAAGTCCAGACATCTACCACTTCAGGTAGCCACTTCTAGACTAAGTCAAACACTCTTTTGCTCTCTTTCGATTTCAGCCCCAACTAATTTACTCATTTCGGATTTTGTATATGAGCTATAAGATACACACACATAAATATATATATATATATATAATAAATACACTAACGCAATTTCAGGCACATACATACACACACACACAGAGACACACTTAGTCCATGTTCAATGGACCAGCTGATGTTTTATCCCTAGCCTCCGGTGCAACACCCAAGTGGGCTAGAAATAGATCTATATTCTGAAACTAGCATCACGAACAGTATGTAATTCAGATTTCTCACATTCTATATCATCGGGTAAACCCACCTCGACAACTTTTATAAGCTGGTCCTAGGTTTGGCTAGTTTTAATGAAAATACCTTCCTTTTGACTTTCACTGGTCCATCGTGATCCTCCTTCAATTGTCCAGGTGCTTTGCTTTATCCAGAAGTCGACATTTTGTGGTTCTTGCTGAATTACAAATTTCTTCAAGTTCGCAGAAACATTAAGTGAAATTGCTGCCAACCCTTTCCTCTCCAGATTGCTTGATCATTAGCTTCCCTAATTTTATATTTCATTTTATTTTCCACGTATCCAGTCTGTATTTCCGTTGCGTTCCCGCTGATGTTGTGGTTCGTCAATGTAAGTTTTGTTTATCAAAGATCCGACTGTACATTTAAGATATCAACACTTGCTCCCCTCGACTCACTGCGACACAAAGTTGTCCGGTCGAGTTTTGATGATCGCAACCCAGTTTCGAATACTTCTGTTGACGCTACTGTGACCTAAAACGAGGCCAAACCCACTAGAAGCAGAGGAAAACATTATTTTTACTCCATTTTCGCAAAGTGGTCATGTTGTCAGGGCGACCAATTTAAAGGCACTTTGTCCAAGTCCTCGGACACATTAGTCATGATAATTTCCCGTACATGGGAATGTATTAATTCCATGATGAACTCGACGAAAAATCACCATTACTACTGTTACTATTGGGTGAATGTAGATTAGTGATGAAGAGGAGCTGGCTTTTGACGAGTCACTTGAGGATTGATGGTGGGGAACCTGTGATTTAATTTGAAAAGATGCATGTGGAAAGATTCATAGCATGGCCTCATTGCCGTGGGCGTGTGAATGCTGGATTGTGCCGAGAAAACCTCGATGGATCGGCATGTGGCCAAGGAAATCTCTGCAAATGAGGCAAAGTGAAGTTGATTTGCCTTGTGAAACACAGTCGACTAATTATGAGAAATAGGTAGTTATGTCAGTTTTTAGCTCACTCTATGCAACTAAGTTCTTAGTGTTTAGCTCACTTCCATTTTGGGTGAAGATTTGTCGGATTCAAATGTCGATCTAACCAGATTCGTTTTACATCAAATTGAATGGAACTCAGCAAGTGTACCGCACGAAATTGCTCACAACTTTCCGCTTTTATTAACAAAGTATGCATAGTTTGGCATATCAAATTAATTATTTCATTTCGCTTGATAAGGAGATTTTCGGGATTACCAGTACATCTGATATACGTTTTTCGTTTATAAGTAGAGTTTATAGACGTCAACTACCAGTACTACGTGACCTTAAACGAAATAGAGTGAATACCTCTCATAAAATCTGATGTAAGAGCTGCATTAGCTCTATTTTGTTTAAGGTGCTAAAGGAGAAGTAGGTGAATTCTCTCACATTTCCAACTTTTCTCATGTCTATTCAGCAAGGCCAGCGAGACTCGAACCCTGGTTGTGATAGCCACCACTTTAAACGAATTAGGGTGAGTACAGCTCTTATGTTAGATCTACTGGTCGTCTTGACAAGCCTACCTAAGCAACGAAAAAGTAAGTGGCGTAGTCGATTGTCGTGGCAAATACAAATGTGCCTCATCAACAATCGCACCAAAGAATGTGATATGGTAAAATGGTTGATCTTCCCTGAAAGTACTATTTACCCTTTAACCAGAGGTCATTCGTGGCAGTCTGGTGCAATGGTTGACGTGTCGATGTTAAACAATCGACTACCGCAACCCGGGTTCGAGTTCCGCAGGGGTCGGAACTGCAGTCAACCCCAGTCTGGATGAGAATACCTTTTAGGAGGCAAGGCTATGTGAAATTTATGTGAAACGTAAGGCCTTCTCATATCAATGCCTTAAAAGAAAATAGCATGAACACATCTCATATTCATGTATGAAAGGCTGTCCGTCCTCCTTCATAGTACAAGTCTCTTCTGTAACATTTCCGAGGCTTTCTTCCACCGGCGAGGCGGGGAGAAATTCGGAACATTTGCGAGTCTTCCGCGAAGGACGGCATCTGCTGGTACGGCGTTGACCTACTTAGATTCGATTTGAGTAGTTTTAAAGAATATTGGTCATTTTCGCCAATGGCTCACAGAACAGATGCTTTAGTCAAAGCAAGCCAGGCCTTTTCCAAATCGGTTTTTTTTACAGGCTTGTCGAGTAGGCAATTACTCTGATTTAGGACCGGTATCGCGTATAGATGCTAACACACATGGGATGCTTCATTAAGATCACGAAATTGGGTGTCTAAAAAAGTAAAGAGGGTTGTAGCCGGCCACATTATCTCTTTGTTTAGTATATTTTTACTCTATTTCGTAAAGTATAAATACTTGTAGATACAAAGAGAAACTTGGTTTCGATGAATCTGCTGAGATAACTTTGTTAGGGGGACCTTCATTTCGTATGAAAGTGCATGAAGAAGAGATTCGTTGGTCGATCTGACCAGATGAGGACGGATGAAACTCGTTGTACTGTACGATATTCATGTTGACGCAGTCCACAAGACCTTCTTCCTCGTTTCGGGTGAAAACGTGCTAAGCTTTCGTCCATCATATGATGGACATCATCATCATCATCAACATGAATATGGTATAAAATCCAACCGACTGCAATACAG